AGGACTTGTTAAATATAAACTTTAGATGAAGTTCATTCAAAAAGAGCTTTCTAACTGAGTTGATTTGAGGCTTGACATACGTTTGAAAATAGTGTTAACTGGTATGAAGCCAACAATTTCAGTAAGTGAGTTAATTGTATCTCGAATGACGTCATCTCCAATAAAAGCAAACATAAATTTTGTCTCTTAAAATCTTATTCTATTTGGTAAATATTCACTTAAATTTGACGCTTCGAAAATAAATTGTTGTTGATCGGCCGATTTTAGAGAAAGCGTCTGTCAAAATTGTCTGTCAGAAATAAGTCTACCGGAATAGCAAGTCAATTTGAAAATTTTCCATCTGTCAAATTTTAAGTGAAAACTCTCCAAATGAAACACACCCTAAGAAAACTGGCTGCTAAGACCGACATATGTCAATGTTTTGTTCAGTCTTAGTACTCAAGCTAGGGGTAAGACAGCTTTGGATAATGAGTAAAATTGGAGTAAATTTTGAGAAACTCTGAGTAACTCGAGTTGCTCAATATTCAATGTCAAGGTGACATAGCAATCTGTTTGTTTTGTGTGCATTCCACAATTGTCAAGCAAAGATGTTTGCCGAGGAAGATCTTATCATTGGGATGGCGATTATAATAGTAGGAATTTCTAGTTAACATGGAGTAGTGACACAATTTATCATAGTGATGATACAAACGGTTATTTAACACGGTTATTTAGCACTCCATTGCGAACATTTTGGCAGATTGCTGATTTTGGTGAAGTGATTAAAGTCACGTCGTGGTGACGCGTTTCTCCATTTGATTTACGCAGAGAGTCACGTCACCACGACATGACTTTTCTCACTTCACTAGTGACAAAAGTCGCTTTGACTCTTGAAATAACCCCTAAAGACTACGACAATTCAGTCGTGATTTCTGAGGGTAATGTCAAGGAAATTTATTTAAAATAAAACCCTTCCTCTTAGCAGCTTAGAATTGCAGCTCACTCACGATTTCGGATTAGTGGTGTGGCAATAAAATGTTGAAATTTATAATTGAAAGAACACACCGTTTGCCGAAAACTTAAGGCGACCCGTCATAAAGCACACCAAATACGAACTCGTTTTTCGTACCAGGCCTTCTTCGGATCATTTCGGAAATACATATTCCTGATTTTTCAACTGTGTATTCCTACCATTGTTCTGAGACTACGCTTATAAGAGTAATTCATGTTGAAAAGAAATACACATGGATTATTGAGTATTTGTTGCAAGAATACAAAACTAGAATAAATGATTACTCTGACAGCTTATGTTCGTTTAAACTGATTTAATTTTAATTTTTTTATGCCAGACTACTATGCTTACTTTTGAGTAATTATGAGTTACTCTAATTTACTCGCTGTGAAAATATTAACTCTGAGTGCAACCGTCTTGCCGCTAGTACTCATGCTTCAAAATTATATAGAGGCATTATTTTTGGGAATTTAGTTAGTTTTATGAATCTTGAAATTGTTCCCGGGATCCCGGGATTATTTTTTTATCAAATCCGGGAAACAATACCCTCTACGTGGAACTTCTCTATAGAATCTCTGAATTTCACAAAAATATAACATTGGCTTGAAACACCACTTACTGTTCATGCTGAAATCTGTCGGAAAAGCTTTTATTTTTTTCCTTTATTTAATAGATTTTCAGTCTTAAAAGCTTATGTTGTCATGAGAGACCGGAATCTTACTTGACTAGCTAAATTCCAGTCGGTTTTCCTTTGAATGAGATGAATTTTAATAGTCACAAAACGATGATAACTCATTGAAGCCCAAAAACCGATTGTCCTACTAAAACCAGGACGTCCAACCATTCAATAATGTAGCGAATTATTCTACGCTCAGCCCATTGCGCCACATAACTCCTTTTATTGTCGCGGGTCGACTAGGTAAAAATAATAGATATGGGATCATGGTGTGGCGAACTTTCATTCCCTCGTCATGTACCATAATTCCTTTTCCCTACCCATCCCCCTAGCCCCAGCACCAAACGGATCAGCCAACACAGAGAGGGTTTTTATTTTTAAATCATCTATCTTCAGTATGTTGCCCATTAGACTGGTGCAAAATTTAAAATTTTCGCTCCCAAATGCTGTAACGGTTCCAAATCATTCTCCCAAAATTTTAACTAATTTGAATAAAAACTAACTGTGCACAAACTATTTGAAGTTCATATGGAAATTATTTTGGGAAAAGCAAACTTTCTGTTGATATCTTTCTCATCATTTTGCTCTACAAAATCTTCTGTTATGAAGATGAAATTTTCGCAAATACAACTTTTCAATGGAAAGAACAATCGTGATACTCTAAGGAAGCCTTAACGTGAAACTTTAAAGGCACAAATGTCAGCTTCCACAAAACATACAAATTTGAAATTGCTAATTCTTGTTTGCTGTGCTACTACAAACAGAGAGTAGCAATTTCAAATTTATATGTTTTGTGGAAGCTGACATTTGTGCCTTTGAAGTTTCACGCAAAGGCTTCCTTAGAGTATCACCTTAATGATTCAAGTCGATACTCCCGCATAAACGATAACCATAAGGAGTGGCTAACAACCTATTCGGGTTATCATCCCAACAATATGTGGTACGGTGGCACGATTTGTGATATCGTTCATGTATGGTGCTCGTTTATTAGGGCTGTCTTAAGATTATGCTCAATCAACTGGCAGGCGAGATTGTGATAAATGTGCGTGAAATAGAATGCACAAATCATGGCTACTATGTCACACTGCACAATACAGTGTTGCCCACAAAGCAGCTGCTTGATCATGTCATATGATTGCCAATCTTGTAAATAATTAATGACTATTTTATTTGACGTTTGGCTGCAAAACGATCTGCTGCTAAGTTGTTGCTGAGAAAATATCTTACACGGGGCCGTACACTGATTACATAATGGAAAAGAGGGGAGAGAGGGGTCTTGTAAAGTCTTACAAAATATTATCATAGGTGGAGGGGGGGTTGATCCCTTCTTACGTAATATCATTTCAAAGAGTTCAAAAGTTGTATTTTTTATGATGGAGCGTTGTCCACGTATAGTTTATCAGTGCTAAAAAATTCTGAAACAAATTTCACAACTGTTACATCAGGCAGGTATATTGTATTTTGTGTGGAATTCACATGATGCGGATTTCACTGAAAGCTTGTCAACAAATTTGATAGCATGTTTATAGCTATTTTTTTAAATCTACAATATTTCTAAAAATGATTCGGGCATATTTTCATTCAAGCTTTATATAGATCTTATCAGTAAGTTCTCCTTTTTTCAAGAAATTGATCTCCGGGTATTTTGATATAAATTTTATGAATATTGGATGTATTGTTTCGTCTTAGAAATCTTAAAAAAAGCGCTGATTACTGTTTTAAGTTCTATATTTTATTACAAGTTTCACAAAAAATAGTAAGGCAGAGTTGTTCACATATAGTTGATTTTTTTTTTAATACTTTATTATAGAGATTTTTAGCCATAGGCTAGTTCATCACTTGAACATACACATATAGTTGAGAATAAATTAGAGTCACACAATGAATGATTTATTAATACAAACCAAGTCAATAATTCATCGTATTCGTAGAACTTTTAGAAACTTTATAGCCAGTTAATTTTTCCGGATATTCGCGAAGCAGAACTCTAAAATCCACGCAACTTCTGGTAGCAGTTTAATATTTTAACTAAATTTGATTTTTTTTTTAAGACTTTTAGTTTCCTTAAAAGACATTTTTTAAACTTTGTAATTTGGAAAATATTCGTACGATTTTAAGGGAGAGAGAGGGGGGTTTGATAAATGTGAAACATCCGTTACGTAATTAGTGCACAGTCCCCAATATTGGCTATGGATCTTTTTCTCTGATGTGTTTGAAAAAATTGTAGAAGGCGATGAAAAGCATAATTTGCATAAACTTCAAACGGTTGGTGCACAGGCAGTTTCTAAGCAAATGAGTTCAAATTTTGGCAAATGATCAGAATCCAATTTAGAACCATTTGAGCAGTGTGGATTTAAAATGTTGCATCAGTCTAATGCCCATTGCATGCTCTATATAAGACCGTATGTTGGCAACATCCAGCTTCATCCGTTTCCATCGACGGTGGCCGTGAGAAGTAGCAAATTCAGCAGAAAAGCTATTGTTTCATGCCATACGCGAAAGGCTGCTATGTGTGTTGTAAGCACTAGGCATACGAGAGAACGGAAGCAACAGAATGACGACAGCGACGACAACGATGTGTGCCAGGAATCAGGCATGAAAGCATAACGAGCAGATAATTTTCCAGGCTTCCGATAGAGTGTTGTACCATGTAGAATAGGTAAGTCAGCAGAAGTCGACGTAGGTAAATACCCGTGTGCAAATTGCTCAACAGATGCTGTACAACACGAGTGAACATTTGCATGTGAACGGATTCTTAACGTTCAGTTCAATTCCATATCGAGACTTCTGCACCTCTTCTGAATGGAATCGTTATTAGTAATTGTAGGAGGAAGATATTAGTTGAACATCCTCGAATAATTTCTAATATAAGCTCAATTATCAAACCTCATTTGGACGAGAAAGGTTGATCCGTGCTCGCTCCTACGAACGACAATGAGGTGCGCCTGGCGATCGATTCTACCCTCCAGTCTGTTTCTTTGTAATTGAATTTTAATTTATTGCATTTAGCACAAGTGCACTCCAATGCAGCTCGTTAAACCCATCCGCTTGACGTACGAGAGGGAGCACTTGAATTAGAATTTGTCCCATTTTGTGTTGCCCGTATGCAGTGCAATAACACATCGGTTGGTTCAAATTCCTCCCAAACAGCTTCCGGCGATGATTCTGCTGCTCCATATTTCACTGTCCGGATTTTCCATTAAAGCTCGCATCAGCCAAACGACGATTTGATTTATTTATAGCCTTTAATGCTTCTATCTTGAATCTGTCACTCCCCTTGTACAACACGTTCTACTGCCTGGTCGTATCCCTTTCCCCAAAACCACTACATACACAATCACAGTAGTATATCAGCACAAACAGCAATTCCCTCCGGTGGGGCACTATTCCGAAATATCCGAAATGCGCTGGTAAAGACACTTAAATTTTCATCTTTTCGTCTTTCACTCCGTACTATCTAGCACATGGACTGAGCCTACAAAGACCAATGCTCAAATTGGCTCCAACTCCCACGAGTGTGCTTGAGATTCACTTCTCCAACTCAAATAACCATTAAATTGAAGCTTTAAAGTAGAACCACTTGTCCACTCTTCAGAGAGAATGGCGAAAGGCCTTTCACTACCCCTATCCTCTGGCGTTGTTAAACCACCACTTATGTCCAACACCGGAACGAGCGCGGATTTATGTCAACCGAGTAAGTCCGTGTCTGTAATGCAACTAGACCAAGCAAGCAAGAAACTTCATCCTCCATCCCAAAACCAGATCAAACTCTCGGAAGGAATTTCCCACTCTCACTGGGTTTTCTCTCTCATCATGCCCACATACTTCATGTACACATTCCAAAAACAGCGGGAAATCCAAACAATCTCGTCGTCCTCATTTCTATTTGTTTTATTAATTATGTACAAGGTGCATTTCCCGAAACCGCTCAAACATACACACAGCATCCCAAGGCACGAGGCGAAATCAGCTGAAACGAATCCCGCCATGCCCACCACATGCGCACATCGAGTTCGTTGCTTTTGCGGAGGGGAAACATCGTGGTTAGCAACACGTGGTTGATGGCGGGATTTTTGGATTTTGTTTGTAAACACGTGGTCGGAGCTAAGATAATCGTAACATTTTGAACGTTCAACTACTGTTCTGTTCCTTTTCTTGAACAATTAATAGATATTAAAACATCAAGAGTACCCTTATGATGGCTTCACGCTAATAATGTGGCTGTTGTTCACTGTAGTTGAATGGAAAATATATGCAGCATAGATTATATAGAGAGGTACGAGTGTTAGCTGGTATTTTTATATGGATTCCTTGATACCTAGTTTTTGGTATTTTGTCAGTACTCTTACTACCAAAGATAAGGCGACTAGGGATTGAGAAAAAGGAATACCGGCTGAAACTCCATTCGCAAACAACTGCACAGAATTTATAATTTCTGCGAATCGCTATGATTCTCAACATAGATAATACAATGACGCTTTTGAAGGAGCTAACAGTACGAGATCTAAACAGCATCTAAAACAAATCCATTTTTTTCTCTGTTCGGGACCTAACACCACTGCGACCAGTAATTTGATCTATTAGTTTAGTGCATGTCGTATTACTCCATCACTATTGAGAATCGATTTTTTTACAGTTGTCATTCTCGCATTTATCGCAAGGATCCGACTCTAATTGAAAGGTCCCGCTATTTATACCCTTCGGAGTGTTGAAACACCCTCCAAAGGCGCGCCCCTTTGTCAGTCAAAATTAGATTCCTTAGCAACAAAATTAAAGAATGACACCGATAATTAGAACCCTAGTCTTAACCACTTCAAACTAGGCAACAACGAATAGAAGATTAGGAATCACATAGATGAAGACTAACTAACGCATTTTTTTCCTTATTTCAAGATCATCCTCGGTAGACAAAGCCGAGTCTTGTCACTATCAACAAGGCATAAAAAGTAACAAGGACTAAGATGTGTTCCTTGGATTACTAAAAAATCCTGTTCCCCTAGTTTGAAGTAGTCAGGACTAGGAATCGGTGGTAGATCTTACATCCCGTAACGTACCACGAAAAGGTGATCTACCCACGTTACGGGGCAACAAATCCATTAGAAATTGTTTCGTCCAGGAAAAAATAAATTATTTTTTTCAAATTTTCGAAACCACTAAGAGGAGAAATCTTGCGTCATTTTTCATATAGACCAATCTACATTGATCGATTCTCTCCATCTCTTTCTCTATTTTTTTTTTTTTGTTAATAACTCCAACTTCACCGAAATCATTTAGACCAATAAGTCTTTTATCAATATTTTTGAAGTTAATATACGCAAACCAAAAATCTATTACAATGAATGTTAGTTCCGTTTCCTATCATCCTCTGTTCATGAACATCGCAGCGAATGTTAGAAGTTGACCTTACAGGCGATGTAATGGTTTTTTGTCTTTTTCATTTCGTGTTCTATCTACGCTTTCGACTACACCAGTAAGCTTGTAGAACGACGCACATTGTAGAACATTGTAGAACGACGCACACACTTGCCTCGAATCTCTCCAGCAGAAAAAGCATACGAAGTCGAGTATGCGAGAAAATGAGCGCTTCATGTTTGCTTTTAGGCTATCCATATTCAGGAGCATGGAGAGAGCAGTGGAGAAAGCACAGGTCTGATAATCGAAGCGTTCTTGGTTCGAGTCCAGTCGGCAATCGGATTCCTATTTTTTTCGACATAACTAATTTACCTCACTAATACACTCTACATTTTTCGGTCTCCAATTTTCTTGCATTGGACCGCAGCTAGGTATATCGCATCCTCGGTTCATGCGGTCTCCACTAACATCCTCTGATGATGAATCCCACATAATTGTAAGCGAATCTTACATCCCTCGGTTTGGTGTAGAAAAACTTATAGATGAATACGTCAAATCAGATGTTCTTCATGGTAACCCACTATGTAGAGCCCAATTCGCCTATCAGTCAGGCAAATCCACCATAACAGCTCTTCATATGCTAGTTACTAAAATAGAAAAAAACCTTCACAGCAAAGGAAATTCTATTAGCAGCGTTTCTGGATATTGAAGGTGCATTTGACAATGCGTCTTTTTCGTCAATGATAAACGCCATGAGAAATCGTGGCTTTAATGAAAATAATTAAATGGATTGTGGAGATGCTATCCAAAAGAGAAATATCAGCTAATCTTGGAGATGCACTAGTAAAAGTAACAGCTGTAAAAGGCTGTCCTCAAGGAGGAGTTCTTTCTCCACTTCTGTGGTCTCTGGTAGTTGATGATCTTCTTTTAAAGTAAAAGCATCAAGGATTTGAAGTAATCGGATTTGCTGACGACATTGTTATTATAGTTCGCGGAAAATTTGATAAAATAGTATTTGATAGAATTCAAAAAGCATTAAAATTCACACTATCATGGTGCACACAAGAAGGACTGAACATAAATCCTACGAAAACATCAATTGTACCCTTTACCAAAAGACGTAGAGTCTCTATCACTGATCTTAAACTAGGAGATGTTAAATTATCACTGTCGTCAGAAGTTAAGTAGTTGGGAGTAATCCTAGATAGTAAACTCTACTGGAACAGACATATGAAACAACCAATAGAAAAAACAACAAATGCTTTTTGGGTCTGTAAAAGATCATTTGGTAAAAATGGGGTCTAAAGCCGAAGATGATACATTGGATCTACTCGGCTATTGTTAAACCCAGAATCACTTATGCATCACTAATCTGGTGGCCGAAAACCAGACAACAAACGGCACAAGTTAAATTGAACAAGTTACAAAGACTTGCTACTCTTTCCATTACTGGAGCAATGCGTAGTACTCCTAATTTATTCAAATGGATGCAAAGAAAAGTGCTCTGAGGCTCAAACGGTCCATGAATTTCTTTGATGGAGATCTTATTGGACATCTGAGCATTTTAAAGAGTTTCAAATAAGTCCACTAATTTTAATGAATGAAGACTGGATGTTAAAGCGTAACAACTTCAATCACCAATTCAAAGTTCCTGAAGTGACTCGTTATGATTGGAATACAGGAGAGCCATCTTTTCGTCCTGGGTCAATAGTATTCTATACGGATGGATCGAAACAAGATAATATGGTTGGGACTGGAATAAGTGGTCCTGGGATCAGCCTATCGGTGCCGATGGGAAAATGGCCAACAGTATTTCAAGCTGAAATATATGCCATCCTAGAATGTGCCACGATTTGCTTAAAAAGAAATTATAATAATGCAACAAATGTATTTGTTCAGATAGCCAAGCAGCGTTGAATGCTCTAAAGTCCAAAACTTGCACTTCAAAACTGGTTTGGGAATGCACTAAGCTATTGCAGTATTTGTCCTACTGTAATAAGGTTAACCTATACTGGGTTCCTGGTCATTGCGGAATCGAAGGGAACGAAAAAGCTGATCAATTGGCTAAAGTGGGATCATCAATGCAATTTTTTGGACCTGAACCATTTTTAGGATTATCTTTTTGTGCTCTTAAAATGGAGTTCAATAACTGGGAAAGAATAAAGGTACAGTGCAACTGGAATAATACCTTAAATGCCCGGCAATCAAAACGTTTCATAGAGCCCAACGCTTTGCACACACAAAAACTGCTGACCATATCGAAACACGATTTGAGTACATATACTGGTTTGATTACAGGACACTGTCCTAGTAAATATCACCTTAAACTTATCGGAAAAGTTGATGAAGACAGATGCCGTTTTTGTAAACTAGAGAGTGAGAGCTCTAAACATTTGCTGTGTGACTGCGTTGCACTATTTCACAAACGACGTATATATCTAGATAAGGGGCTTATGGAACCCTGGGAAATCTGGACTGCTTCTCCCAATCAAGTTATACATTTCATAAGGAATGCATTACCTGCTTGGGATAATTGCCAAAAACAGTAGTGGTGGTTGCTCATATAAATAGCATCTTGCCATTGCGTTGCACATTGTAGTCGAAATACGTATCTGTCATGGATACCAAAATTAATTAAGTGGAATTAAATGGAAGATAAACCCTTTTGCTGTTTTATTTAGCATTCCGCTAACAACCCAATTTCATTACTTCATTATGATGGCTACCAAGCCTTTGGGGATTTTCCTTATTAGAGATTTGTATAGATTTTTCTCCTTTAGCTTACTTAAATCTTTGGTTTTTATTAGTTAGGTAGGTTCCGATTCAACACATTGTAGTTTCATTTTTATACCTATGATCTTGACTTTTTTACCTAGGGGATGAGTACTTAAGGGGGTTAGATTTTGATAAATTCTTTAGTGGGAATGACACTGATGAAGACTGCACATTGTAGTCGAAATACGTATCTGTCATGGATACCAAAATTAATTAAGTGGAATTAAATGGAAGATAAACCCTTTTGCTGTTTTGCTATATGCAGTCGGTTTATGTGTTTCTTCAAATATCTAGTATAAGAATTTAATTGCTTTGTCAATTGTCTCTCTTTAATAGTTTTTGTTTGTCTTGTCCCCCCGTCTCGATGAGTCTCATCGTCGCCCACTGGTCACCATAGCGAACTCCAGACGAAACTAGAACCGCAGATGAGACAACGAAACCTTACCCTCAAGCTCCTCCCCTGACCCTATCCTTCGACAATGTACCTCTCTAACCTCGAGTAAGCCGCGAGTATTCGGCCCAACTCCTACTAGACATAGAATTAAGTGAATTTTGTGAGCTGTTTTGATT